CAATTACAGCATATCAACCTATTTCCATTTCAATGCAAAATAAGTCTATAACGCATAGGTGGCTGTGAAAAATAAAAGCCATGACAATTTTTTATTAACCACAGCTGTCAGAATACGATTAAAATAGTTTTGGGTAGTTAAGGTTTTCAAAATGGGTAGAGGCAAGGTTATTAGTGAGAAAATTCGGTTACTGATAACACTGGACAACAAATTGTAGTTTTTTAATTGTATCTTGTGGAAAAAGTGCACTTCTTTGTTAATTTTGGGGCGCTGAATCCAAAAATGACAATGAAATAAAAAAATTAGTTGCGGTTTAGGAAAAAAAACTTTTTATTTTTAAGGATATATCAAAAAAAGTAACAAGATTCATATACTTATAAGAATCACTATATGCGCTGTCTTTTTGCTGTTCTTTTATGGATCGTTTCTGGAGCATCTCTACCAAGAGTCCAACAGTAGTCTGCAAGCATGGAAGGATTCCACTTTCCCTGGTACCTTTTTTCCATTGTTGAAATATCCTGATGAAAACGTTCGCCGTGCTCATCACTTACGGCTCCGCAATTGTCAGGAAAAAAGTCCAGGTGTGAGTGTAGGAAATGTATCTTAAGAGACATATTACAGCTCATCTATTGATACGATGACAGGATATTTTTGACAAGGGTTTTATAGTTGTCAGCTTTTCTATTGCCCAAGAAATTAGTGACCACGGAAATCATTCCAAGCAGTTTTTTCAATACCTGTTAAAGTGTTTTCAAACTGTGTATCTTTCAAATATTTCGAATCTGTGGCCCAACAAAAATACCTTCTTTAACCTTTGCCTCACTTAGTCTTGGAAATTTCTGTCACAGGTATTGAAAAGCTGACCCATCTCTATCTAATGCCTTGACAAAGTTTTTCATTAGGCCCAACTTGATATGCAGTGGTGGTAAAATTTTTTTCGAATCTACTAATGGCATATGCTGTACATTCACACAGAAAACAGCAAAACCTTGTGTAGCCTAGCTGCAGCCCAAGTAAAAGTGCAACAACTTTCAAATCGCCACAAATATGCCATTGGTGCTCATCGTATTTTATGCATGTCAATAGGTACTTCATATTGTCATATGATTCTTTCATGTGAACTGCATACCCTACAGGAAGAGATGGTAAAATATTTCCAATATGCAATAACACGGCCTTTAAACTCAATGTTGAACTGTCTATAAACAATCTCCATTCTTCTGGGTTATAGTTTATATTTAAAGCCGCCAGTAAGCCGTTAATGTTACTGCAGAAAACCAAGTTATTCTCCATATTGAAAAATGGTTCTAAGTCTTTGTGGCGTTTACGAAAAACACATACCGAAACATTGTCTTCTAACAAGTTCCACTGCTGCAGTCTTGATCCAAGTAACTCTGCCTTACATTTTGGAAGTTCTAAATCTCTTACAAGATCATTTAATTCTGACTGTGTTATTTTGTGCGGTTGGTGGCATGACGTGCTCGGTATAAAATCAGGATCTCTTGACGTTGATGGCTTATCTTCTTCCTGACGAATCACTCGATCGCCATGATCTGATTCGTTTTCTGATTCGCAAGTGTAGGATTCTGGGGGTTTTGGAATAGGATTTTCGTCACTGTGAGGCACAGGTCTCATCGCAGATGGTATGTTTGGGTAGTTAATAACCGATTTTTTTTTCTTGGACATACCTGTGGCTTGTCCAACACAAGGTACCATGCAAAAGTAACAACCATTAATATGATTTGTAGGCTCTCTCCAAACCATTGGGACAGCAAAGCGCATAGACCGTCTTTTGCCATTTAACCAGCTCCTCAGACTTGAAGCACATGTATTACAGCAGATGTGGGGTGCCCACTGTTTGTATTGATCACCTAGTTTACAACCGAAATAAAGCTGATATGCCTTTGTTATTAGTGGAGTAATAGACCGTCTCTGAGACGCAAAAGTCACATCACCACACACGTAACAAAACTGATCTGGATTATTTACACACTTTCGAGACATCTTGCATGAAAGCTGTCAGCCAACTGAGGAAAAAATGGCTAATATAAAACAATATAATGTACACGTATGTATAACGTAACACAATCATGCCGATTACATCATCTTTCCTTGCCGAATGTAAAATTGTAGCACGTGCATTCTTGTGAATTACAATATATTAACACTGTCACAGCAGGAACACATATAATTACCGTATCTCTAAAACTTGAACTAATCTTGAAAAAATAAGTTTCATTCCGGTTTTAGCACATTAAAAATAGTATTTATGAAAAAAAAGTAATATCACAAATGCCGACCGAAGAGCATTAAGAAGAATAATCGTGAAAAACAGGCGTGTCAATTATTTACAATTAAGTGCTCTGTGGAGTGACGCTGTTGGAAGGAGAATTTCGAGGTCCACAACTCATAGAGTGGCCCACAAACTGGGATATAACACTTGCAAGGTAAGTTTTCTTATAAAAAAGTGAAGTAAAAACCCTAAAGTTGCACAACTTGTTTATAGGCCAAAGAAAAGCCACTATTGACTCCACTGCAAAAGAAAAATCGGCTTAGATGGGCTAAAGAACATAGACAATGGACACCTCAACAATGGTGTGCAATACAATGGACTGATGAGGCCCGATTCGAAGTTTGTGTTGGTGACAGTCGCAGTCGAGTAGAGTTATTCGCAAAAAAAATGAAGCATTCCATGTTGACTGAGGATAAAAGTGAAATTTCCAGCATCCATTATGGTCTGGGGCAGTATGTCATCAAAGGGAGTAGGAAAACTACATTTTATCGATGGAAATGTGGATACAAACAAATATTTGCCAATTTTAGAAGAATCGCTTTTACCAGTGATGGAAGAATGTTTGACATCCGGCCAAGATTTTGTGTTTCAGCAAGATGGTGCAGCGTGCCATACCTCAAAAAAGGCTATAAAATGGATGGAAGAAAATAATGTACCACTTTAGAAATGGGTTTCTAGCAGTCCAGATCTGTCACCCACTGAAACTTTGTGGCACGAGATGAAAAATATTCTACGACAACATCCTGCTCGTACAATCACCGAACTGAGATAAAAGCTTCAAGAAATAGATTGTTTTACACCAAATTTTTGCCAAAACTTAGTTAATACTATGCCCCAAAAAATTTCAGCTGTAATAAAAAATAAAGGTGATGTTACCTAATGGTAATCTTTCAATTTTATTCGCACATTGTTTATTTGTTCAGAATGTTCTATTAGTTATAGGTCTAAGTGATTTTAAATATGTATTTTTTATACTGGAGTGTATCTAAAATGTTTTTGAGAATAGTTTCGTCATGTTTAGTTTATAGAGGCATATTTTGGTACAAATCTTGAAGTGGGCCAACTGAAGTGGGGAGGGGCTCGTAGTTACCTTAAGTTTGGAGAGATTTGCAAAAATCCAAGCAAGACACAAGAAGTGTGCAACGTCGACAAGAGTTTGTTACGAACTTGGACAATCTGTTTGATATTGCGCATGCCGATGACCTTCAAGTGATGAAAATAATTGAAAGGCGTGTTTCAGTCAAAGATCGACTAATTGACTACAAGCCCTGACATTAAAATGTTTTGTTTTGTGAGAGGTGGAAAAGTGTGGCTCTTGAGACAATACAGATTTATACTGAAAAGCTATCATGCTTGAATATTCGAGAGACTAATAAACTGCTAGAATTTTATCGACAGGAATTGACCAAAGAAGTTGCTAGATACGACTATCGAGAATTGAAAGAACTTGAAATAATATGCCTTGTGAGCTACTGAGCTCACGGGACTCCAAACTGTGAACATCTTCTGAACAACAACCAACATAACATTGACCGAAGCTCCTTGACACATCGCTGATCTTCTGACAGCTCTGAGTTTTTTCCTTCTACCGACTTTGCCCTAGAATCTACCCAATTTCAACGACACTGTATACTGGTTTCGTCTTTTTCCGTACATTACGTGTACTTACCAGTAGCTCAAATAGTATTCTCCACCATTGGCAAAAACTTGTGCGCCAATGAAAAGTATGCACATAATTACCAAATGAACAGTACCACCTCCTGCTTTGAAGTATTTCCAGTAAGTACTTGGTTTCACATTTCCACTCTCTTGTCCTTCTTTGTCCAGTATTGCTCTTCAATACTTCTTCTAAAGCTATTTCTGAATTTTGCCTTGATTTTACCTAAAAATAGTCGAAGTATGTTGAATGCACAAAAGGTGAAGTTAAAAAAATCGTAACTGCTGTTTCTTTTTATTAAAGGTTTCATACAAGGCGATTCTAGAGAAGCGTAACATAGTTATGCTAATATAGATCATGAGCTTTTATGTGCTAAATTGAAGTTTTTTGGTTTTTCAGACATATCTCTAATGTTTCTTATAACATATCCTTCAAATCGTAAACAAGTAGTAGAGATAGACAATACTATATTCAGTCCGATTGATATAACCTCAGGTGTCCCTCAGGGTTCAGTTTTAGGGCCTCTGTTGTACTCGATTTATACTAACCGATGATATAAGAGCTTTAATAGTAACACTTTACATACTTCAATCAATGAGCTTAATGATGGCTTGGAGCCAATAGTAGGATACTCAAATAGTAACAATCTTAAGCTAGATAAGGATAAGTGCTCAGTGATGCATTTTTTGTCCTGCTGTCAAACGTAACACTTTATTGAATTCTCTTGATGTAGCTGCGAGATTGTTGCTGAAATTGTTTTTAAACAACAGTGAAGGGGACACATAGTCGACGAATAAAAAACGGGACTGATGAGGTTCGATTGGGACGGAATTACTTTATTATTAAATGACAAATCATTTTGAAAGGTTCTTTTTTAATTAAACGTTGATTGATTTTAGAAACAATTTCAGCAACAATCTCGCCGACTTAGTAAGTAAATATTTTTCTCCTAATTGTAATTTGTTGCTATTGTCAATAATTGTTTCCAGCTCCAGATGATGAAGACATAGATCTTCGAAAGTTTAAGAGTTTAAGTTATAAGAGTGTACTTTTGCAATAGTTTGCCATCTACCCAAATAAATTAAAGGATATCTTCTCCTAACAGTTAAGGCAATTAACTATGAATACTATATACAGGGTGTCCGCAAAGTTGGGGTTTTCCTTTACACGACGTGTGATGTCTTAAGGGAACTGAGATAAAGGGCTCTGCAACATCAAAAATATCTGAATATCGCCCTGTAGCCGCGACATCACCGACTGGTACAAGGTCACTGGTTCAACCCGACGACAGAACTGGGTCGGGGTCAATGTGTCTGCAACCTTCAACCGACGGTTACGGTCACGCGTGTAGAGGTAATCGCGTAGACGAGAATCCCTCAACAAGCACTAGAGATGTGGCTAGAGAAGTGAAAGTATCAAAAAAATAAAGTGTGGCAAACGCTGCGTGAAGAGGGGCTGTATCCGTTTCACGTCCAACGTGTACAAGCCCTTCAACCTGACGATTTTCCAGTAAGAGTGGGGTTTTGTGAGTGGTTGTTGCATCAAAATGACAATAATCCGGACTTTTTGAAGTGCATATTGGTGACAGACGAATCTACGTTCACGCGTAATGGGGTGAATAACTTTCGCAACACTCATGTTTGGTCAGTAGAAAATCCGCACGCTGTCCGTCGGGCACATTTTCAACAAACATTTTCGGTGAATGTTTGGGCTGGCATGGTGAACGGTATGCACATTGGACCATTTATTCTCCCAAATCGATTGGACGGGATGCAATACCTAGACTTTTTGCGCAACATTTTGCCTTCCTTGTTAGAAGATGTGCCATTAAGTGTAAGACAATCAACGTGGTTTCTGCGTCTGCTCGGTAGCGCATCAGCTGATTTCATTTTCTGTTGGAGCGGTATGATTTCGGGCAGAGACGTACTTAGCCCTTCTCGTCAACTGGAGAGTGAGTACTTTTTCCTTTATTTTTTTTTTACTTGGTCGCCCTCGTTTCACTACACATTACCTTTGCTATTTCAAGGGTAGTTGTTTCTGAAAAGGAAAACCCCAACTTTGCGGACACCCTGTATATATATATGTATTTATATACATTATTCCCCTTTACACGTGATGTGTATGAATTACAATTCTGCAAGTAACCGGGTTGATATATTTAACTGCGGAATTGCAGACATAAAAAATACCATTAAGTAACCAGCATGTATCTGTTCACTTTATAGTCTATTACTTATTATTGTCTTTTATATCTATGTTATCTTCTGTGTTTCCTCACCGTGTAATTGGTATTTACTGTAGGGTGTTGTAATGAATAAAATACAATAAAAAATAAAATAAACAAAATTTGTCGGATCAGTTGTGAAACACCTTGTATATTCGGTCGGTCACTGATAACTATACCAGGTGTGTCTAAATTATTTATAAATATACCGTAATAAACACGTTTTTTGTAATTGTATATTTGGAAAGACCTTTCCAGATTGAGATAGGATTTTGATCTGCCAGTTTGCGTAGTTTTTCAGTGCATTTTGGAAAGAGGATAGAAAAGTACATAAACTTTGTCAGGATTCTCAAAAGTTGTAAATAGAAAATCCCGTATATTTTTATACCATCAGATCCAAAGGTTCTTGTGACCAGATTTCATACTGCTTTACTAGAACGCTTATCTGATTATACATAAGAAAATATGTGTTCCATTGAAAAACAAACATGTACCTCGGAATTGTGCAACATCCTGTATATCTCCACATAATTAAAAAATACACACTTATAAGGTGTCAGTCTTGCATGCGCAAATCATTTTCGATCATCTTTCACAGTTTTTCCAGCAAACTACTTACCATTTTCTTTGGACATCCTGTATATATTGTATGTGCTTAAGTGATTTTTATTAAATATGTCAAGTCTACAATAAATCTGAGTTAGTTTCCGTAAAATAGTGCAAATATATACAGGGTGACTTTTAAGTTGAGTCATTAATTTTCAGATAATGATTGTAGAAGGAAGATGAACCAAAATATGTGTGTAAAAATGTTACCTTGTTTTATAAATTTTCCTCCCGACAAGTATTTCAGTGCGGACCTGTATTTGATCGTGCGGTCTTGGAGCACCGGCATGCCCTCCCCTGTGAGGTCTTAAGTCACCTGATTCACGAGCCCTTTGTACTACATTAACAAAGGCACGAGTGGTTGGTTGCACTCGATTGGGAAACCGATTCGCACAAATCCGTGATGCCGCGGCAGCATTTTGTAAAGACTCCCCCCCCCGTAAATAAGAATCATGTCCACAAGTTCAGCATTTTCTTAAACATGTGCCATTTTTTATTTCGTTTGAGCCACGCAACAAACAGCACTATTCACTCACGCGTTACCGACTGACGAAAAACATCGTGATGAACGTTTCAAATTCTTTCGCTTTTTTGTTTCCGATGCGATGAACCGATAAGGCGGATTATATCCGTTGTTGCCAAACACGAGCACATAATATTATTGAGACAGGGCGGTACTCAAACTTCCAAAGGGCTATAACTTTGTTACTTTAATTTTACCAGAAAAATGTTAAAGGAAAAAAACATTTCTTTTGATCAGATCTACTCACTGTTAAAATAAATGACTCAACTTCGAAGTCACCCTGTATATATATAGAGAAGATGATCATGCGGAGAAAGGTCCACAGTAGCCAATGGGTGCTTAGGCCTTAGGCCTTCGTGGTAGTTGAAGTATATAAAAGAAAACAAATCGTTCTTACACATACCTTCTTCTTTTGTTCTTCAGCCTCTTCAGCATTATGCTCTTCTAGCAACTTCGTGAAATTCAAGCCACTGCTCTTCAACTCTGCGTATTTCCCTTGCATCAGAATTTCACCGTCGTTCAATACGACTATCTTGTCCGCATTGTGTAGGTACTGCAACTGATGCGTTACCAAAATGCGGATTTTGTCTTTGAGAAATCTTCGAATGCACTTTTCGTACAGATGTTTTCCAACGTTAGCGTCCACAGCTGACAGAGGGTCGTCAAGCAGATAGATGTCTGCTTCTTTGTACAGGCAACGGGCAAGGTTTATTCTCGCTTTTTGGCCGCCGCTCAAGGACTTGCCTTTTTCACCTACGAATCAGATACGAATTAGGGACCGATCAAAGGTCATGTGTTACTAGTAGGAACTTCGGTTTCGGATATACAACTACGAATGGCGAGGTACTGTAACTCGGAACCTATCCGTCGCAGAGGCTTGCGCCAAAAAAAGTTCCGTCTAAAACGGCCAAGAAGGCTTAAATGCAATCTTGAATATCAAAAAGTCATGTTTATTAACCTAACAAAAAATACCTGCTCTTCAAAGTCGAGGATAATGTGAACTCTTTGTGGTCAACAATTTTTGCTGTATCTCTAGGAATAAAGTGGTGGGGGTTTTCCGTAAAAGCACCCTGTTTCTTCGAGACAGCTGAGCCGATGACTTTAACAAATTTGGGCTAGTTGTATGGAGCTAATTTTGGGCTACGAACGTTATAATATATACAGGGTGTCCCAGAAGTCGACTTCAAGCCGAAACTGGGTGATAGGCAAAGTCATAACAGCTATTAAAAAATATTTAAAAAATTTTTATGTGTGTGTTTTGAAAATTATAGGTCTTTGAAAAAGATATAGAAATTTTACACCCTACGGCAGTCTGTCAACTCCTGTTACTACAAATCTTAACTTTTTTTGGATTTTATTTTTACAATGTAATGATGAATAATGCATCTTCAAACTGGTGTCTCAACCTTACTGCCAACTTTTCTCGTTCAGGAAAAATTGCCACTTATTTCCCAACCAAGTATTCCAAAGTAAAGTAAAACTAACTGGCTGTACTGGAAAAAAATGTACTACGAGAGTTTGGCAAGTAACCTTAAAAGTTGGTGCATTTAATAACGATTCCAAAATGGTATAACACTTAGAAGATTACTCGTTAACTTATGCACAATTTAAAAAAGATCGGGTTATTAAACGAGCGAATCCACGGTTATTAACAAACTCAGCTGCTTCCAATAGTCTTTGCCGTAGCTCAGCTACATTTTGAATCGGCTTGAAATACACTTTTTCTTTTACAGTTCCCCAGTAAAAAAATCTAAGGATTCAAATCAGGTGATCGGGCTGGCCACGGTATTGTACCAGACCGCCTATCCATCTGCCTGGAAAGTTTTGATCGAGATACTCTCTCACTGAGAGTGCATAGTGCGCTGGGCAGCCATCATGCTGAAACCACATGTCCCTGTAAATACTCAGTGGCACGTCCTCCAATAAATTTTGTAATGATTTTGCAAAAAACCTAATAAACTCAGCAGTCAAAGTCTCTGGGAACTCAAACGGAATTATTTTACCATTTAAAATTCCTGTCCAATGGTTTATCTTGAAGCGATATTGAGATTTATCTTCTCTCATCAAATGTGGGTTTGCTACGTGCCACTCGTGTAAGTTATGCAGGTTCATGTACCCATCTTTCTTAAATGTGGTCTCATCTGACCATAAATTTTTTCAAAGAACCGTGGATCTTCCCTGTGTCTTTCTAACATTGTGCGACAAAAAGCAACTCGGGGCTCATAATCCCGGGGCAGAAGAGCTTGAACACGCTGTACGTGGTATGGATGGAGCACGTTTTTTGCAAGATTCTATGGGCTGTACTTTTGGGCACACCTGTTTTTAGTTCTATTGCACGCACTGAAGTACTCGGGTCTTCTTCGACAGCTCCTAGCACCACGTCTTCGTAAGGAAGGAAAGATCTTCCCTCACCGTGTGATTGGTTTGGTAGTTGGCCCTCTGAGAACAGTAAGCGGTGCACATTTGTGAACACTCGATGATCTGGATGACGAGCTGCATTCGGGTACCTCTCACAGTAAAGTCTCGCTGCAGCACTAGCGTTGCATCTGCATTCCCCATAAATGAGGTGCATGTTAGCATATTCTTGTACGGTGTACACGGACATAGCGGCACTGCACAATCACACTATCAAAGATAGTCTAAGGAAAGCAAATGTTGTTTTGAAGAGCAATTAAACAGTCCAAATCCAAATCACAAGCGATCAACAGTCCAGTTCACGAATCCAAAATTAGTAACAGTACGAAATCAACAAGCACGAACATGTAAAGATGCGCAGTAAACGAAGGAGTACTGATCGGTATCAAAGTGTGCAATAGCAAGTAAGTGATGTGCTTCATCCATACCACATACAGCGTGTTCAACCTCTCCTGCCCCGGGATTATGAGCCCCGAGTTGCTTTTTGTCGCACAATGTTAGAAAGACACAGGAAAGATCCACAGTTCTTTGAAAAAATTTATGGTCGGATGAGACCACATTTAAGAAAGATGGGTACATGAACCTGCATAACTTACACGAGTGGCACGTAGCAAACCCACATTTGATGAGAGAAGATAAATCTCAATATCGCTTCAAGATAAACCATTGGACAGGAATTTTAAATGGTAAAATAATCGGTCCGTTTGAGTTCCCAGAGACTTTGACTGCTGAAGTTTATTTATTTTTGAAAAATCATTACAAAATTTATTTGGGACGTGCCACTGAGTATTTACAGGGACATGTGGTTTCAGCATGATGGCTGCCCAGCGCACTATGCACTCTCAGTGAGAGAGTATCTCGATCAAAACTTTCCAGGCAGATGGATAGGCGGTCTGGTACAATACCGTGGCCAGCCCGTCACCTGATTTGAATCCTTTAGATTTTTTTACTGGGGAACTGTAAAAAAAAGTGTATTTCAAGCCGATTCAAAATGTAGCTGAGCTACGGCAAAGACTATTGGAAGCAGCTGAGTTTGTTAATAACCGTGGATTCGCTCGTTTAATAACCCGATCTTTTTTAAGATGTCGAGCGTGTATTGCGGCTGAAGGAAAACAGTTTGAGCATTTGCTGTAAAGGTAAATCATCAGCAGCAGTTTTGACGCCCACTGTTGTGCAAACAGTTATCCTTAAGGGTCCTTGTGCGTTTTCATAATCGCTGTTTAATTAGGAATTTGAAATATTTTCATCAGTTTTTCTTCAAATAAAAAGTGTGCATAAGTTAACGAGTAATCTTCTAAGTATCTATACCATTTTGGAATCCTTATTAAATGCGCCAACTTTTAAGGTTACTTGCCAAACTCTCGTAGTACATTTTTTTCCAGTACAGCCAGTTAAAGTTGAGCAAAGTTTTACTTTGGAATACTTGGTTGGGAAATAAGTGGCAATTTTTCCTGAACGAGAAAAGTTGGCAGTAAGGTTGAGACACCAGTTTGAAGATGCATTATTCATCATTACATTGTAAAAATAAAATCCAAAAAAAGTTAATATTTGTAGAACAGGAGGATATTTTTTCAAAGACCTATTTTTCAAAACACATGCATAAAATTTTTTTAAATATTTTTCTGATAGCTATTATGACTTTGCCTATCACCCGGTTTCGGCTTGACGTCGACTTTTGGGACACCCTGTATATATATATATATATATATATATATATTATATATAATATAATATTTGAGGTTCTGTAGTTTCACATGTGTCAACCAATTTAATGCATTGATATACTTTTTTTATGAAAAAGAGCTAATGATGTCTCAATCACGCTTCCGAAAACCCTATTCGATATCCGGAGCTTCCTAGTCTGGAAAGAAGCAATTAATTCTTCCTCTAGCCAAATTACAAACTCCATAACTCTTGATTTTTCGTTTCAAGCATACCGGTTTCTTTTCAAATATATTAGAAAAAGCTGTTTATCTCCAACGAATTGAATATTTAGAGATGAACCAATTTACTTCTGTTCATCAGTCTGGATTTCGTGCTGGACGCAGTACAACTTCTTCACTTCTCCATTTGACAGACAATATCTTAAATAATATGGATAAACATATTAATACAGTTTTAGTTATGTCCGACTTCTCTAAGGCGTTCGACACTGTTAACCATAAAATTTTGTTGAGTAAGTTAAGTATATTGGACAGTCTGACATTCCGCTTAAATTTTTTGAAAATTACTTAACTAATCGTAAACAAAAGGTGAAGATAGTTAGAGGCGTCTCATCTTCTGTTGTCGTTTCTTCATGTGTCCCTCAGGGCTCTGTCTTAGGTCCTTTACTGTATTGATGTATACTTTTGATTTACATTCATGTATTCAGCATTGTGCTATACAAACTTACGCGGATGATACGCAGCTTCTTTTCGGTTTGACTTCTCTCATCTGGATGAAGTGTCATATAAGATCTTACCAACATCACTGATTTTTGTAAAAGACACATGTTGAAGATTAATCCGAATAAGAGTACTTGCATACTTTTTTATCCTAAACATTTGCATAATAAAGTAAGGGACAGAATTACATTGAGCGTCAACAACGAGCACATTCCTATTGTGTGTTGTGTATCGAAGTCCACCTACATCAAATTAAGACTGCTATATGCTAATAGATTCATTTGAACTTCAAAACGCGTTAGAAGCTACAGTATATTCAGATAAGAGATCGACCGGATGTAAACAAAAGGTTCGGGTGATTTTCACGCTAACGCCGCCGTCTCGACGTAAAACAGGAGCCCTCATTGGTCAATTCGCAATTAAATGCCTATGCCGAGCGGCAGAGCAGTCGTATCAAGGCAGAGTCACATTCAAATTCAGACGTGTTACGTATGTAGTGTGCATCATTGCAATTTGATATTTCTTTGGACGTTTTCGTTTGTTATCTTATTAAGTTGTTGAGTTTGTCGTTGTTATTGTTATACCTTGTTATTGATTGTTATTGTTATCAACTGCTTGCGCAAAATGCCCAGTAGTACAGATACTGCCGATGAAGTTGTAAACTCCTGTAGTCCACCTAGGAAACGCTCTAAAAAAGACACCTGAGTGCAGAAATGAAAGAGGTCATTTTTGAATATATATAAGATCGGGCGCGAGGAGAACGAGGCATCAACCATCAAAGAAATTGTTGTGAAGGTTTCTCACAAAGTTGGGGTGTGTCGCGCATCAGTGTTTAATGTGTTAAGACAATACAAAAAAAATCACACCTTTTCTGAGCCAATGACCAGTAAACATCGCAAAAGTATTGTTAAATCATTGGATGAAGCTGATAAGCATGCGATTAGGAGGAAAGTGCATGAATTCTTCTTTAGGAATGAAATACCTACTATAGATAAAGTACTGCAGGAGGTAAATGGAGATACATATACAACGTTGCCAAATTTCAAACGATCAACTTTCCATGCGTTACTGAAGCATTTAAATTTCAAATGGAAAAAACGGGGTCGTAATAGTTTACTACTGGATAGAGAAGAAATTGTGCTATGGAGGAGGGATTATTTAACAAAAATTGGGAAATATAGAAATCAAAACAGGAAGATTTATTACCTTGATGAAACGTGGGTAAACGCAGGACACACTACAACTAAAGTATGGGTTGATGATTCTGTAACTTCATCCAGGAGGGCCTTTCTAGATGGACTGTCCACCGGATTAAAAAATCCAGCAGGTAAATACGAGTAATAGACAACAATCGGATGTTTTTCAAACCTTGGGAACAAGGTTCTAAACATTAATTCCAGGGGGCAGATAAAACATATTACAAGTAACAAAACTTTTATAACTTTCGATAAAATGCGTGGATGTTTTATTGTCATTTTCATTTGTTAGAACTTTTTTAAGCTATGTTTTTATGTGTTTCGATATTTCAATAGTTTTTTAATATAATCTTAAAAATGTCGAATATTATAAACTTAAAAAAAGTGTTACTAAGTTTCATATTGTGTACCGTTCCTAATATTTCTAATCATTTTAATTCATACTTTAAGCTTTATAAAGTTATAATTTGTTAATATTAATATTTGCGCGTATTTCAGGTTCCTGATCATTCATTTTTTAAAGGTTTATAACTTTAATTTAAATTGTGAAGCGCTGAATAATCATACGACGTTCAATATATAGCAATCTGATACTCATGTCTCAATGTTTTTTCTCTGAATGTGATGAAAACATTTGAAAAAGGTTCGCTTATTGAAATAAATCTACACCAGTTAGTACTTCGATTTCCAGGTAAAGGGAAAAGGCTCATTATCTGCCATATTGGCAGTGAGGATGGATTTGTTGTTGACGGTCTGTGGTGCTTTGAGTCTAAGAAAACTGGAGATTACCACTTAGAGGAAAACGCAGTAATTGTGTTGGATAATGCGCCTTATCATTCTCGAAGAATGGAGAAGGTCCCAACAACGGCTTCAAGGAAAGTTGATGTTCAAAATTGGCTCCGCTCGAAAAATATCAACTTTGAAGAAGCAATGCTGAAAGTACAATTATTAAGAATTGTCAAGGATCACAAGGTGGAATATCAAAAATACGCCATTGACGAAATGGCAGCAAGTCAAAATAAAACTGTGCCCCGTTACCTCCATACCATTGCGAGCTCAATCCCATTGAGCTCATATGGGCAGAGGTTAAAAATTATATAGCTAAGCACAATACAGCTTTTAAATTTTGTGACCTCAAAGGACTTTTCAAAGAAGCACTAGAATTAATAACAGCGCAAAAATGGGAAAACGGTATTAAGCACGTGAAAGACAAAGTTGAAAAGAGAATGTGGGAACTGGACAATACTTTAGAGGAAACAAGTCGAGCCATTCATTATTGACGTTGGTGCTTCAGGCAGTAGCGATGATGAAAGCTCATCAAGCTCATCTTTCCAATAAAAGATGTCGTTCATCAAATTCGGTAAGTTATAAGTAATTATAAAGCTACTGTATTTTTTAATTAATTATTGACATTTTTGAACCCATTTTGGCAAAACCTATTCAAGAATCTACTTTCTGACAATGTTCAACCATGCACATTTTTTTACGTTTTGAACGTTTTAATTTGGTTACATATTTACCTAGAAATCAAAAAATATACTAATCAATATTCTAAAGCAATTTTAAGAGATATACGATTATTTTTAATTTAGGCTAATTTAAACGCCATTTTGAGATTATATTCGACTGTATTTCACCAAACATCAGGCGGCATCCGAAGCTGGAAATCGAAGCGAAAATTTGAAAACCCTTATGTATATTTACATCATTATATATTTCTTACCCCACCCCCACATGATCCTATATCCATCACCAATCGATATACACATCGAATTGTGCTAATTTACTACAAAGTTACGCAAAGCAGCATCTACTATCTAAAATATGTACTGCGTGACTCTTAATACGTCCCTGCCGAATGTTACAGCGTTCGATGATCACGTGGCCTTGTTTATGTCCGGTCTATCTCTTATCTGAATATACCGTAGTAGAAAGTTTGATAATGTCCAGCCTCAACCACGCTTTAACTTTATACTATCCTTGTTTTGACTCGATGAATCGGTGAAGGATCCAAAGAATACAAAATAACTGTTGTAGATTTGTGTATGGTCTTCGAAAATATAGTCACGTCTTCTCTAAGAACAAGGAGTTGAAATGGCTGAAAATGGATCAAACAATTTGAATATAGTCTCAAGATATTTGTGCATAAGATATTGTGTACTAAAAAGCCCATCTACCTCCATAGTAAATTTGTAACTAGAGGAATCATTAATCTTAGAGATCTGAGCCGTAATAATAATCTGACAATGCCTTTGCACTACACCGCATTGTTTCAAAACGTTTCACTTTCAATGCTGTGAGGTTATACAACTCAAAACCGACCCTGCCTGGAGAAGCACGACCTGTCAATCACCTCGTATACTATCAATTTAACTGCTATAGGTATTAGTACAAAACATATAATCTTAGATATTACCTACAAGAGTTCTATCTCCGTAAGGAAACAGCTCGAAGTCCGACTTCAACGCGCATACTTCCACTATCCTCTTGTAGCGATCTTCATGGTACGGAGATCCAAACAGTATATTATTCCTGACTGTATCGCAAAACAACCATGGTTCTTGGGAGCAAAAGAAATCTCTCCGACCACGTCTATCCGTCCCGATTTCCGAGGTAACTCATTCAACAACAAGCTCAGTATGCTGCTTTTTCCACTTCCCACTGGACCCACTATCGCTACCAATTGTCCTGGTGATACCTCGAGGCTGATGTTGTTCAACGTGTCTTCGGTAGAATCACCCACCCAAGTGGCGTATACTTTTTCAAGCACGATCTTCGGAGGTTCGTCATCTCTTTTTATCACATTCATCTTAGTATTGGTCACACCATTAGCAACTTTATCTTTCTTTCCTTTCTCGCTTATCTCTAAAGGATCTTCTTCTACATTTTCTTCGAGACTGAGGATTTCTTGCACCCTGTTTATCGAGACGTGGACTTCGGCGATGCTGGACATACTAAGTGAGAATAGTATCGTTATGACGGTTCTCAAGGCGTTGTAAATGACGGTGATTGCGAAGACTTTCTCGGCGGTGATGTAGTTTCCTTGGAAGACGTAGGCTAAGATCGTGATGAAGATGGCCGTACGGGAAACGAACGACTCGAACGAGTAGAGGAAGGATAACAAGCAAGAGTGCGAACGGATTACTTTCATTTCTTGCCTGGAAATAAAATTTATTTGTTAGTTACCGAAGTATGCATGCTGAGTGACAAAACAGGTAAATACCTACGTATGTTTATCTGATAATATACTAAGTGACATATACATCCGAACACCCAGTTTAAATGGTTTTATTTTAATAAAATTTTGTATAAGTACTTAATGAAGCATAATAAGTAAAATGATAAAAATTTCAAAATAATTGCACTGCTTTAAAGCCCTTTGACCTTTAATAATGTGTGGATGCACCCTGATGTGCTACGCATTCTCCAACGCGCCTAGGCATGCTTCTGATCAGGTGGTCAATGTCCTCCTGTGGTATCTCATTCCAGGCAACCACCAACTCCTCTCGAAGTGCTTCTAGAGTCTGAGGAGGACGTTGCAAATTGAGCAATCTCTTACCCATCATATCCCACACGTGCTCAATTGGGGATAAGTCGGGAGATCTTGGTGGCCATGGTAACAATGTGACATCACTACGTTGAAAGAAGTCTATTGTGACTCTTGCAACATGTGGTCGGGCATTATCTTGTTGGAAAGTTGGATCTGCAGGGTGTCAAGATAGGGTAAAAGATGGGGTTCTAGAACTTCGTGGATATAACGCTGCGCGTTGATGTTACCTCTGATGAAGATTAAAGGTGACCTGGTACCATAAGCTATAGCACCCCAAACCATAACTCCAACAGTGTGATGAACATGTCTTTTAACAAAAAACTGTGGATTCGTCCTTTCACCACGTCGCCTTCTAACCCTGGCACGACCATCGTGCATGCCTAAACAAAATCGAGACTCGTCACTAAAGACAATACTGTTCCATTCCTGATCCCAGAGTGACCGTTGTCTGCACCACTCAAGGCGATTACGTCGGCGTTCTCGAGTTAAAGGGAGAACCCAGTGTGGCCGGTATGAAAACAAGCCAAAACTTCTCATTCATCGGTAAACACTTCGCATGCCAATAGGTTTTCCGTGTTCTGCAAACCATTCATTTGCAATGGACCTGGTAGTGGAGAAACGGTCCCTTAAGGCCAATAATCTTAGGCGGCGATCTTCACGGTCTGTTGTTCTACGGCGGCGTCCAGTGCCCCTTGCTCTTTGCGTACGGCCTTCTCGAAGCCATGCCTGACAACACCTAACCACAGTGTCTACACTTCTTTGCACTCTAACTGCAATTGCCCGAAAAGAAAGTCCCACTATACGGCCCCTATCAAACTCACTAAGTTGACGAAATCGTACAGGTCTCCGTACTCTAGGCATCGTAACCGATCGTAAAGGATGTCAAGAACCAAAATCCGCCAACGTTGATTCTTTACTGCGGCTGAAATATTCATTTTCAGAGCGTTAGTGAATTAAAAAAAAGCAGTATAAAAACCGGAATGTCCAACTGATAAGGCTGAAAATTTTTTCACTTGTTATTTACAGTAAGATAAATACATTCACCAACTTTTATTAAAATAAAACCATTTAAACTGGGTGTTCGGATTTATATGTCACTTAGTATAATAATGTGTTGAGGATCCATGATTTCTTATACACTCATTGACACGCCTGAGCATCGTGCTGATAAGGTGGTCGACATCCTATAGTCTGGAGGGCGATGCAAATTCAAGAGCCTACGACATATCGTATCCCAGACATGTTCAATTGGAGATAGGTCAGGCGATCGTGCTGGCCAAGGTAAACGGTTGAAGCGATGTTGATCCATGAAGGTATTTGTTTCTCCAGATTGTATTGTTGAGACATCCTGCTGCTCTGTTCGCCATGTTCACTTGTTTTTGTACTTATTCCACTTTTCCATAGCTTGACAGTTTGATTCCCAAGTATTCCGTTTCCATCACTTGTTCTATTATTTTGTTCTTTACGACCAGTTTACATCGTCTCGTTTCCGCTGACATCACTATCGATTTAGTTTTCTCTGTTGAAATCACCATGTTGTATATGAGCGCCGTATCTCAGAATTCTTTAATTAATCCTTGTAGGTCATCTTCATTTTCGGCTATTATTATGGCGTCGTCGGCGTAGCATATTATCTGCATTTCCTTTTCTCCCATTCTATATCCTCTTCTTTTTTTAACTTTCTTTATGATTTCATCCATTATCAGATTAAATATTAGTGGGCTTAGCGAATCTCCTTGTCTAATGCCAGTTTCATACTTGACAGGTTGCGAGAATTTCCCTTTACGTCATCACATCACCATAGCTATGTTATCTTTATATACAGGGTGTCCGCAAAGTTGGGGTTTCCCTTTACACGACGTGTAGATCTTGAAACATAAGCAATTTTTCTTAGTACCATATACACCAATCTCTTAAGGGAACCGAGATAAAGGGCTCTGCAACATCAAAAATATCTGAATACCGTCCTGTAGCCGCGACATCCCTGACTGGTACTAGGACACTAGCTCAACCCGACGACAGAACTGGGTCGGGGTCAGTGTGTCAGGTCAGTATGCAACCTTCAACCGACGGTTACGGTCACGCGTTTAGAGGTAATCGCGTAGACGAGAATCCCTCAACAAGCACTAGAGACGTGGCTAGAGAAGTGCAAGTATCAAAAACTAAAGTGTGGCAAACGCTGCGTGAAGAGGGGCTGTATCCGTTTCACGTCCAACGTGTACAAGCCCTTCAACCTGACGATTTTCCAGCAAGAGTGCGGTTTTGTGAGTGGTTGTTGCATCAACATGACAATAATCCTGACTTTTTGAAGTGCATATTGGTGACAGACGAATCTACGTTCACGTGTAATGGGGTGAATAACTTTCGCAACACTCATGTTTGGTCAGTAGAAAATCCGCACGCTGTCCGTCGGGCACATTTTCAACAAACATTTTCAGTGAATGTTTGGGCTGGCATTGCTCATTGGACCATTTATTCTCCCAAATCGATTGGACGGGATGCAATACGTAGACTTTTTACGCAACATTTTGCCTTCCTTGTTTGCCTGCGTCTGCTCGGTAGCGCATCAGCTGATTTCATTTTCTGTTGGAGCGGTATGATTGCGGGCAGAGACGTACTTAGCCCTTCTCGTCAACTGGAGAGTGAGTACTTTTTCCTTTATTTTTTTTACTTGGTCGCCCTCGTTTCACTACACATTACCTTTGTTATTTCAAGGGTAGTTGTTTCTGAAAAGGAAAACCCCAACTTTGCGGACACCCTGTATATTCTCAATAGTTTTTACTAAATCCAGTGGGATTCCCCTACCGATATGTAAAAAATTCTTAAATTCGAATAAAGATAAGTAGGTATTTACCTTTTTTTGTCACTCGTTATATAATCAAATATATGATTATATCTCTATATCTGATAGTGTACCTATAAATGACGATATTAGTATACCATTGCTTTTAATGTTTTTGATTTTGTCTTCTTCACCTTATTTTATAATCAACCCTCGTACTAAATTCGTACAATCCTTTTTGAAATACCGATTTGTTTTTTATATTGTTTATATAATTTTTTGAATGAAAGTCTAAACATGCTCTAGTAGAATAACTACTATAGTACTCATTGTTCAATTCAACAAAATTTTCTGAATGATTTGGTAGAATATGTTTTTTTTAAACTTGAATATGAAACTTAACAGCAAATAGATTATGAAGTTTTTGATATTCAACCATTGTAGTTCTGCCAGCATAAAATGTGTTCTAATATACAGGGTGTAAGCGTTATGGTAGTCGTTATTGAAATGGGTAATAGTCAAAAAGTTCATATGACCCATGGTCCAAAAGTCAATGGATTTTTGTCTAAATGGCTTTATAGTTTACAACTTTAAGTGCCTTATATGGACCAGAATCACCACAATCTTACTAATTTTTATAATCTAATCTAAAACGTTTTTATATTAGGTAATTAACAAATTAATTGCATTAAGTTTTTCTAAGTTCAGCCAAAATTTGTAGTCAGCAAGTTTCATTAAATTAAATATTTAAAATACACATGACAACAGCGCGTCGGCCTTTTATCACTCTTATCGAACTGGCAATCGATCGCAAACGGTAACAGTGGTTAATCGGGCATCGGGCGTGTTGTTTTGTTTTTGTTCGTGAACGTCGTCGTGTTTATTTACAATGTTCTCGAATCCATGTACAAAGAGTGCAGGCCTTGTTCCAGAAGACTATCCTCGCAGACTAACATTCTGTCAGTAGTTTTCGCACAAATACATTGAATATCCGGATTTTTTTAAAAACATTCTAGCGACGGACGAATGTACTTTTACGCGAGACGGGATATTAAATTTCCATAATAGTCACACGTGGGCCCAAGAAAATCCTCATACCATACCATTCGTGAAGGTCATTTCCAACAACGTTTTAAAATAAATATTTGGCAGGTATTCTTGACGATCAGGTAATTGGTCCTTTCGAGTTACCCCCAAAAGTTGTCAGGAAAAGCTTTCTCTCCAATAACCTACAAGAACTTTTGGAACAGACCTTAGAGAACATGCCATTACAACGGAGTCAGAATTTGTGGTTTCTTCATGACAGGGCACCACCACACATTTTGAGAGGCGTCATTCAGTATTTGAATGAACATTATCCAAATCGCTGGATCGGTCGAAATGCTCCTGATCCTCGAAAATGGCTAGCAAGATCTCCTGACCTCAATCCGATTGATTTCTGGTATTGGGGAGAACTTTAAGGGATGGTTCATTCCAGTCCAATAACAACTAAAACACAACTTCGCGAAAATATTTTTAATGCGGCTGAAATAATAAAAGGACAACTTCGAGGACGTAGAGTAAGAAGAAACTGGGTTCGTGGTAATGAAGCTTGTGTGGAAAGTGGAGGAGGACATTTTGAACACCTTCTTCAAATACAAAAAGTGCAGTGTGGGTTTTAAAAGAAAAGCAATGTATGTATCAAAATTGTGTTCCCTATTTATAAGTGGATTTTTTTAATACGTTCAATAAACATTCACACACCAGGTGAAGCGCTGACACAGCTAGTGGTAAGTCCGTCTTTTCATTATCGAATAATGAAATAATACCTAAGAGCCAAAAACTCCTAGCTCCATGACTATCATAACGTTTACACCCTGTATTTATTTTCAGTTAAGATGGTTCTTTCTCATAATTATTATGTAATATTTGTAAATACAGTTTCACTTGCAGTGAACAAAACAGTCGATCAAGATAACAAATGAGGAAGACTTATAGTGTTATTTGGTTGGTTTCTGGGTATTTAGGCCGTCGCAAAATATTTCTACTTGTTTCGCCAACACGAGTGGAGATGTTCACAGTTTGGAATCCTGTTAGCTACTGACAGCTCCGCGGTCTTAGCTCGTATTTATAGGTGGCTCGGGTGGTGGGGAGAGCTCTTCAGGAATCCTCGGCCTGGCGTCGCGCTCAGGATGACTCGGCTGTTGTTTTGCCTTTTGGATGATGCAATTTTCGTGTTTCTTAATACTGGTAGCCAGGTTTTGTGTACTTTCAGTGATTCCTCTGTTTTGTTAACGTTGCCCATGTTTGTGCATCTCTATAGTCTCCCTATATAATCTAGCGTGGTATCCTGGTGTGTTGGCAATGAACAAACTGTGAACATCTTCTGAAAATACCAACCAGTCCTGACAAGTAAAAATATCTTGAGACGGCCTGACTACTCAAAAACCAACCAAATAACATTGGATGATGGCCGCGGAAGCCTTTCACGTTTCAAGAATGATAGTGCAGTACACATTCTTGTTCAAAATAAAAATAAATAATGTAGTCATAGTGGAGAAGAATCTTGAGAAACTTAAAATACCAAACGTCGGACTCATTCGGAGTGCATTAATCTATGTATTTGATTTACCTTCTTGCAAAAGCAACAACATCTGCGAACGGTTTTTCCCAACAGTACATCTTGATAACCTGCATTCCAGATAATATCTCGTTCATCAAACGCACTCGTTCATCGGTTCTTAAGGCAGTTTTTAGTCTTAACACAGAGTTCCTCTTGGCAAGATAGACTGCAAATGAAAATAGGCATTAGCTGAATATCAAAGTGCTTAGGCTTAGGCGAACATGCGATTGGAGGGGGGGACGGCCCAGGAGAAGAATAAAAAGCCTTGTATTGCAATGCAGGGAGGGTCTGGATTATCTAGCAGCGGCATCTGGTATCCCTAGTGTGGGTATCGGGGCATGATGAGATAAAGGGCAACACTCAGAAATGGAGAAGTATCTCCAGACATCTCCGTCAGGCACTCATTGTAGGGCACAGCTTATTTCTGGATAGAACCACGAAATAGTCAGGCACGAATCCAGGGGGGGGGGTCATGGGGGTCATTTGTAGCAATTTATTCGATGTTCTTCGTTTGTTTCCAGTGGCGAGTCAGCAGCTTTTTCGTCGAACAATTTTTTGATTTTCCTCTTTCTGACAATGGGAAAACCACTATTTTCCCATGTCATCTCTTCCCATTTATTCTTAGCCTTCAGAACAAAATTATCGTATGTGCTTTCGCTCCTCTAATCTTTTAATTTTTTTAATGCTGCTTAAATGCACCTTTGAGCCGTCATCAAGTCTATTTCTTTCTTTTGCATTTGAACTTGCACGGTACATTACGCTCAATTCTGAATGCCACCATAACAAATTGAAAAAAAGGTCCAGTTCATGGAGGAAAGGAGAGATCTTGCGTTCATTATATATTCGCCAGAAGCTCCCACTCTTCATCTTCTATGCAATTGATAATACATTCAAAAAATTTCTTCCACGATATTATCACGAAGAAAATAGATATGTCATCAAATAAAAAAGTGCACAGTATTGTGAAAGTTTATGGCTATAAGCATTGAAGACGTGAAAAGACTGTAATAGACGCAAAGAGACTGATTCATACCACGAAGATATTTATTTACTGGACATTTTATGCCAGGTAATAATATACTAAGTGACATATAAATCCGAACACCCAGTTTAAATGGTTTTATTTTAATAAAATTTTGTATAAGTACTTAATGAAGCATAATAAGTAAATGATAAAAATTTCAAAATAATTGCACTGCTTTAAAGCCCTTGGACCTTTAATAATGTGTGGATGCACCCTGATGTGCTACGCATTCTCCAACGCGCCTAGGCATGCTTCTGATCAGGTGGTCAATGTCCTCCTGTGGTATCTCATTCCAGGCAACCACCAACTCCTCTCGAAGTGCTTCTAGAGTCTGAGGAGGACGTTGCAAATTGAGCAATCTCCCACCCATCATATCCCACACGTGCCCAATTGGGGATAAGTCGGGAGATCTTGGTGGCCATGGTAAGAATGTGACATCATTATGTTGAAAGAAGTCTATTGTGACTCTTGCAACATGTGGTCGGGCATTATCTTGTTGGAAAGTTGGATCTGCCAGGGTGTCAAGATAGGATAAAAGATGGGGTTCTAGAACTTCGTGGATATAACGCTGCGCGTTCATGTTACCTCTGATGAAGATTAAAGGTGACCTGGAACCATAAGCTATAGCACCCCAAACCATAACTCCAACAGTGTGATGAACATGTCTTTCAACAAAAAACTGTGGATTCCTCCTTTCACCACGTCGCCTTCTAACCCTGGCACGACCATCGTGCATGCCTAAACAAAATCGAGACTCGTTACTAAAGACAATACTGTTCCATTCCTGATCCCAGAGTGACCGTTGTCTGCACCACTCAAGGCGATTACGTCGGTGTTCTCAAGTTAAAGGGAGGACCCAGTGTGGCCGATATGAAAACAAGCCAAAACTTCTCATTCGTCGGTAAACACTTCGCCTGCCAATAGGTCTTCCGTGTTCTGCAAACCATTCATTTGCAATGGACCTGGTAGTGGAGAAACGGTCCCTTAAGGCCAATAATCTCAGGCGGCGATCTTCACGGTCTGTTGTTCTACGGCGGCGTCCAGTGCCCCTTGCTCTTTGCGTACGGCCTTCTCGAAGCCATGCCTGACAACACCTTACCACAGTGTCTACACTTCTTTGCACTCTAACTGCAATTGCCCGAAAAGAAAGTCCAGCTTCCCGAAGTCCCACTATACGGCCCCTATCAAACTCACTAAGTTGACGAAATCGTACAGGTCTCCGTACTCTAGGCATCGTAACCGATCGTAAAGGATGTCAAGAACCAAAATCCGCCAACGTTGATTCTTTACTGCGGCTGAAATATTCATTTTTAGAGCGTTAGTGAATTCAAAAAAAAAGCAGTATAAAAACCGGAATGTCCAACTGATAAGGCTGAACATTTTTTCACTTGTTATTTACAGTAAGATAAATACATTCACCAACTTTCATTAAAATAAAACCATTTAAACTGGGTGTTCGGATTTATATGTCACTTAGTTATAAAAGTTCTTGAGAAATGAAAGGGAAATTTTCTTATTCAAACTGAATGCTAACCTGCTGTTTCAGAAACATTACGCAGATGGTCATTAAAAGAATATAACAACCCTCTGATTTCTTGTTATCAATTTTACATTCAGACGCGCTGAACAACAATATAGACACTAGAGCTGATTTTTGCTGGGGAGCCCTGTGACCATCCTTCTTTGGTGGGCCCAGGCGGCAATGTCCATTTTGGCATTACTTAAATCCGCCACTGTGACGGACAAAACCACAAAAAAGTTGTTGTACTGGATTCAAACGAGATGGTAAGTATTAATAATAATCGATTCGCAGGAAGACGAAAAAGAAGAATTAATTTTCTTATTTAACAATAAACTGTTAATTTTTAAATTAGGTTTAATATTTTAATCATTTTTAGGCTGCACCCTAAGGGTACGAGGGTAGAGTTGTCATCTGCCATCCGTCTGCACTGGCACTAACTATATTAAGGTCCATCACTAAGGAGCTGGGACCCAAGGCTATACTCAACTTTGCTAGAAGGGCGGAGCTTGAGGTTTAGGAAATGTAGGGGTGTACAAAGGCCCGTGTAAATGGCTCCTCACGTTGGCCGGTGTGGCTATAATTTCATAAATCACATTTCCTTTATTCTTGAATTTAGGCCAGACTAATGTGACTTATAGGGCAAAATTACTACGATTTTACTACAAGATGACCTAAATAGTTATTTATACTGACTGACATATAAATCCGAACACCCAGTTTAAATGGTTTTATTTTAATAAAATTTTGTATAAGTACTTAATGAAGCATAATAAGTAAATGATAAAAATTTCAAAATGATTGCACTGCTTTAAAGCCCTTTGACCTTTAATAATGTGTGGATGCACCCTGATGTGCTACGCATTCTCCAACGCGCCTAGGCATGCTTCTGATCAGGTGGTCAATGTCCTCCTGTGGTATCTCATTCCAGGCAACCACCAACTCCTCTCGAAGTGCTTCTAGAGTCTGAGGAGGACGTTGCAAATTGAGCAATCTCCTACCCATCATATCCCACACGTGCTCAATGGGGATAAGTCGGGAGATCTTGGTGGCCATGGTAACAATGTGACATCATTATGTTGAAAGAAGTCTATTGTGACTCTTGCAATATGTGGTCGGGCATTATCTTGTTGGAAAGTTGGATCTGCCAAGGTGTCAAGATAGGGTAAGAGATGGGGTTCTAGAACTTCGTGGATATAACGCTGCGCGTTCATGTTACCTCTGATGAAGATTAAAGGTGACCTGGAACCATAAGCTATAGCACCCCAAACCATAACTCCAACAGTGTGATGAACATGTCTTCTCAAAACCGAGACTCGTCACTAAAGTCAATACTGTTCCACTCCTGATCCCAGAGTGACCGTTATCTGCACCACTCAAGGCGATTACGTCGGTGTTTTCGAGTTAAAGGGAGGACCCAGTGTGGCCGGTATGAAAACAAGCCAAAACTTCTCATTCATCGGTAAACACTTCGCATGCCAATAGGTCTTCCGTGTTCTGCAAACCATTCATTTGCAATGGACCTGGTAGTGGAGAAATGGTCCCTTAAGGCCAATAATCTTAGGCCGCGATCTTCACGGTCTGTTGTTCTACGGCGGCGTCCAGTGCCCCTTGCTCTTTGCGTACGGCCTTCTCGAAGCCATGCCTGACAACACCTAACCACAGTGTCTACACTTCTTTGCACTCTAACTGCAATTGCCCGAAAAGAAAGTCCAGCTTCCCGAAGTCCCACTATACGGCCCCTATCAAACTCACTAAGTTGACGAAATCGTACAGGTCTCCGTACTCTAGGCATCGTAACCGATCGTAAAGGATGTCAAGAACCAAAATCCGCCAACGTTGATTCTTTACTGCGGCTGAAATATTCATTTTTAGAGCGTTAGTGAATTCAAAAAAAAGCAGTATAAAAACCGGAATGTCCAACTGATAAGGCTGAAAATTTTTTCACTTGTTATTTACAGTAAGATAAATACATTCACCAACTTTTATTAAAATAAAACCATTTAAACTGGGTGTTCGGATTTATATGTCACTTAGTATATATCCTTCGACCTATTAGTAATAAATGCCTCAATGACCGTATTGCCTTCTAAAGTACTTTGGTTTTATTCCCCACGTTGGGAAAAGTGCAAACGCTTGACACCTTTTTAGATCTTTTTAAACTTTTTTGTGATGGAATTAATGTAATTACAATTTAAAATGTTTCTTGAGGGATCCCATGTGGCTAAAATAAAACAAACTCACTTTGCAACGGCACTATAGCAACTAAAAAGGCAATTCCGATGAGTGCGGCAACTTGCATTTCTCGATAAAGCATGTACGTCCCAACTGCAACCTGTATGGGTCCTACCCAGCTGTAGTGGGCCAAGATGAACGTTTGGTCGAATTTACTCAAGTCGTTCGATAACAGGTTTACCATATGGCCAACGGTGGTTTTTCCGAGAGAAGATCTACTTAACCGCAAGATTTTTCTGAAAAAGAAAACGAGCAATTAACAAACGATACAGTCACCGAACACTTGAATCATAGTTGTCTCAGAACCAACGAATTTAAGGGCTGTAAAGCTCTAGTCAAAAAAATTCAGGGCTGGTAAAAAACCACCAAACCACTAAAATATTTCGTTTTTCCAAACTGGCTTAAAAAGTTGGAAATAAAATTATAGGCTGTTATTTGAAACGATCATTACACGTCGTTTCTTCATCGTTTTACCGCGTTTTCCACCGAAAATGTTCGGTTTAGGTTACGAGATAATCCACGAAAAAATAACCAGGATCATGTGAAGTTAGCCCAGAATTAACCGGCCTTAACAAAATGAGCGCACCTGGATTTTCCATCCATTTGAGACATTTTTGTGAAAGCTGAAACCAGTAATTTAAAGATCAGGCTTATTACCCAAAATCTCAATTCCTAACCTATAATTTTAGTTTTGGATTTTTATCCTTCCGGACACATGGTTTCAATATTCAAAACTAGTCTCAGTCGCCGACTGTCCATCATCAAATGTATATGTGTAAGCAGTTAAATACAGGGTGGCCCAACGAAAAGCTCGCACCTCTCTTTGTGACTTTCCTGGCATATTTTGGGAAAAACGCTCGGTCACGTCAATTTTGATTTCTAGCGACGTCTTTCCATCCATTACCGTACAATACAGGATGATCCAAAAATAAGATATTGTCTTACACTTTAGATTTTTAAACGGAAATCCACATTTTTTTTTAATCTTCAGATTTTCCCTGAACATTTTGGCAACTTTTTTATAATCAAGTTTATACCTATCTTCAATCGCTGTGAAGCTATTTGAGTTTAAAATAAAATTCTTTTCCCAAAATATACTAGGAGAGGCACAAATGGGGGTGCGACCTTTTCGGTGAGCCGCCCTGTATATGATGTCCAAGATAATGATATGCATGTGGATCTTAATACGTGTGTGAGATAAAGCTTAGTTTAAATTAGGAAAGTGCCAATGAAGAAGTTCCATTATTAGTTTTTTGACATTCCTTAAAATGAAGTAAGAAAAAAATAAAAATGATCAAATTTTCCAGTAAGCCATGAAATGTTTACGTTTCTCGACTGCAAATACACTGTGTTCCTTAACGATATACGAATATTCAACGGTGTGAATCTACATGAAAAATTAATGTTAGTTTGCTTTATAAACTATGGTCCAAAAATGTTTCCTTACAAAAACTCGGAAAACTAGGAAAAAAATGGAAATTAATTAATACTCTCAGAACCGCCTCAGATATTTCACTGATATTTAGTACGTAGTCAAAGTTAACAAAGTTGCATATTTTTCAATGCAAAATAATTTTTAGCTTTAACAGTGACGAAAGTGACTAAAAAAATAAAAACCGTTCAAACAGCATTAAGAAGAATAATCGTGAAAAACAGGTACACTGGACAACAAATTTTAGTTTTTTAATTGTATCTTGTGGGAAAAGTGCACTTCTTTGTTAATTATGGGCGCTGAATCCAAAAATGACAATGAAATAAAAAAAAATTAGTTGCGGTTTAGAAAAAACTTTTTATTTTTAAGGATATATTAAAAAAAGTAACAAGATTCATATACTTATAAGAATCACTATATGCGCTGTGTTTTTGCTGTTCTTTGATGGATCGTTTCTGGAGCATCTCTGCTAAGAGTCCAACAGTAGTCTGCAAGCATGGAAGGATTCCACTTTCCCTGGTACCTTTTTTTCCATTGTTGAAATATCCTGATGAAAACGTTCGCCGTGCTCATCACTTACGGCTGCGCAATTGTCAGGAAAAAAGTCCAGGTGTGAGTGTAGGAAATGTATCTTAAGAGACATATTACAGCCCATCTTTTGATACGATGACAGCATATTTTTGACAAGGGTTTTATAGTTGTCAGCTTTTCTATTTCCCAAGAAATTAGTGACCACCAGACGGAAATTATTCCAAGCAGTTTTTTCAATACCTGTTGAAGTGTTTTCAAACTGTGAATCTTTCAAAATATTTCGAATCTGTGGCCCAACAAAAATACGTTCTTTAACCTTTGCCTCACTTAGTCTTGGAAATTTCTGACGCAGGTATTGAAAAGCTGACCCATCTCTATCTAATGCCTTGACAAAGTTTTTCATTAGGCCCAACTTGATATGCAGTGGTGGTAATAAAATTAATTTCGAATCTACTAATGGCATATGCTGTACAATTTTTTGACCTGGCTCTAGGAATTGACGAACAGGCCAGTTTTGTCTGGTGTAATGAAGTGCCTTTGCCCGACTGTCCCATTCACACAAAAAACAGCAAAACTTTGTGTAGCCTAGCTGCAGCCCAAGTAAAAGTGCAACAACTTTCAAATCGCCACAAATATGCTATTGGTGCTCATCGTATTTTATGCATGTCAATAGGTACTTCATATTGTCATATGATTCTTTCATGTGAACTGCATACCCTACAGGAAGAGATGGTAAAATATTTCCAATATGCAATAACACTGCCTTTAAACTCAATGTTGAACTGTCTATAAACAATCTCCATTCTTCTGGGTTATAGTTTATATTTAAAGCCGCCAGTAAGCCGTTAATGTTACTGCAGAAGACTAAGTTATTCTCCATATTGAAAAATGGTTCCAAGTCTTTGTGGCGTTTACGAAAAACACATACCGAAACATCGTGTTCTAACAAGTTCCACTGCTGCAGTCTTGATCCAAGTAACTCTGCCTTACATTTTGGAAGTTCTAGATCTCTTACAAGATCATTTAATTCTGACTGTGTTATTTTGTGCGGTTGGTGGCATGACGTGCTCGGTATAAAATCAGGATCTCTTGACGTTGCTGGCATATCTTCTTCCTGACAAATCACTCGGTCGCCATGATCTGATTCGTTTTCTGATTCGCAAGTGTAGGATTCTGGGGGTTTTGGAATAGGATTTTCGTCACTGTGAGGCACAGGTCTCATCGCAGATGATATGTTTGGGTAGTTAATAACCGATTTTTTTTCTTGGACATACCTGTGGCTTGTCCAACACAAGGTACCATAAAAAAGTAGCAATCATTAATATGATTTGTAGGCTCTCTCCAAACCATTGGGACAGCAAAGCGCATAGACCGTTTTTGACATTTAACCAGCTCCTAAGACTTGAAGCACATGTATTACAGCAGATGTGGGGTGCCCACTGTTTGTCTTGATCACCTAGTTTACAACCGAAATAAAGCTGATATGCCTTTGTTATTAGTGGAGTAATAGACCGTCTCTGAGACGCAAAAGTCACATCACCACACACGTAACAAAACTGATCTGGATTGTTTACACACTTTCGAGACATCTTGCATGAACGCTGTCAGCCAACTGAGGAAAAAATGGCTATAATAAAACAATATAATGTACACGTATGTATAACGTAACCCAATCATGCCGATTACATCATCTTTCCTTGCGAAATATAAAAATGTAACACGGGCATTCTTGTGAATTACAGTATATTAACACTGTCACTGCAGGAACACATATAATTACCGTATCTCTAAAACTTGAACTAATATTGAAAGAATAAGTTTCATTCCGGTTTTAGCACATTAAAAATAGGAATATTTTGTTGATTTTATTTAGGAAATTTTTTGGCTGTTGATCAGTGTTATTTACAATCAAGTGCTCTGTGGAGTGACGCTCTTGTAAGGTAAGTTTTCTTACAAAAAAAAAGTAAATTAAAAACCCTAAAGTTGCACAACTGGTTTATAGGCCAAAGAAAAGCCACTATTAACTCCACTGCAAAAGAAAAATCGGCTTAGATGGGCTAAAGAACATAGACAATGAACACCTCAACAATGTGCAATGCAATACAATGGAGTGATGAGGCCCGATTCGAAGTTTGTGTTGCTGTAGAGTTATTCGCAAAAAAAATGAAGCATTCCATGTTGACTGTCTGAAGAGAAAAGTGAAATTTCCAGCATCGATTATGGTCAGGGGCAGTATGTCATCAAAAGGAGTAGGGAAACTTCATTTTATTGATGGAAATGTGCATACAAACAAATATTTGGCAATTTCAGAAGAATCGCTTTTACCAGTGATGGAAGAATGTTTGACATCCGGCCAAGATTTTGTGTTTCAGCAAGATGGTGCAGCGTGCCATACCTAAAAAAAGGCTATAAAATGGATGGAAGAAAATAATGTACCACTTTTGAAATGGGTTTCTAGCAGTCCAGATCTGTCACCTATTAAAACTTTGTGGCACGAGATGAAAAAGGTTCTACGACAACATCCTGCTCGTACAATCACCGAACTGAGACAAAAGCTTCAAGAAATATGGGATTGTTTTACACCATATTTTTGCCAAAACTTGTTAACACTATGCCCCAAAGAACTTCTCCGTAATAAAAAATAAAGGTGATGTTACCCAATGGTAATCTTTCAACTGTTGCTTTGTTAACTTCGCGCATTTATTCGCACATTGTTTATTTGTTCAGATGTTCTATTAGTTATAGGTCTAAGTGATTTCAAATATGTATTTTTTACGACTAGAGTGTATCTAAAACGTTTTTGAGAAAATAAATTGTTTTAGAAGTAAATAGTTTCGTGATGTTTAGTTTATAAAGGCATATTTTGGTACAAATCTTGAAGTGAGCCAATTGAAGTGGGAAGGGGCTTGGCCTAAGCTGTATCTCATACCGGTACTGATATCTCTATGGGCATGGTCCTTATCTTGGATACCCTGTATAACCACGGAAACACCTAGGAACATTTGCATGCATTGTTAACTTGCAAGTTATTCCACCGGATTTATAGACAAGCGCATGAAAAATCCAACTGATTGATCTTCAAGCAAGACCTTGGAGCTGCAAGAAAATGGCAGGAAGAATAAGCTGTTATTGAGCATGCCTGCGGACTGTATAACGGCTATTAGCCAATTCTTGTGAAGCTTAATATAAGGTCATAGTGAGTAATACTGCTGCATCTAACGGGTGATTTTTTAAAAGGTATAGGATTTGATTTTCAAAAAAAAACACAAAAAATTTGAAAAAAACGATTAAATCTTTATTTGAGTCGATAGAACGGTCGATATAATTTAATGTTTAAAGATTATTTCATGTAAATGTTGGCCGCAGCTCCGCTTTAGATGGCCCATGCGCAAGGTCCAATTTTGGCACACTCTCTCCAACATATCGGCCGGTATCTCACGAATAAATACTTCAATATTGGCTTCCAGTGCGTCAATCGTTGCTGGTTTATCCCTGTAGACAGTAGCCTTAACATGGCCCTACAAGAAATAGTCCAACGGCGTTAAATCACACGATCTAGGCGGCTAATTGACGGGCCCCAAACGTGAGATAAACTGCTCACCGAACTCGCCTCTCAATAGGGCCATTGTTTCGAGTGCGGTGTGACATGTGGCACCGTCTTGTTGAAACCACATGTCAGCCAAGTCCAGCTCTTCCATTTTGGGCAAAAAAAAGTTTGTTATCATCGCACGGTAGCCCTCGCCATTTACAGTTACGTTCCGGCCATTGTCGTCTTTGAAGAAGTACGGCCCGATGATGCCAACTGCCCATAATCCACACACAAACAGTGATTTTTTCGGGATGTATTGGTAGCTCTTGCAATGCTTCTGGCTAGTCTTCACTCCAGATGCGGCAATTTTGCTTGTTAACGTACCCATTCAACCAGAAATGAGCTTCGTCGCTGAACACAATTTTTCGATAAAAATGTGGATCTTCCTCCAACTTTGCTAGCGCCCATTCACCAAATTGGAAACGTTGTGGGTGGTCGTGTGGCTTCAATTCTTGCACCAGCTGTATCTTATAAGGTTTTACATCCAAATCGTGTCGCAAAATTTTCCACGTAGTGGAGTAACAGAGGCGCAATTGATGCGAACGGCGGCGAATCGACATTTCACGGTCATCACTAACACTGGCGGATACAGCCGCAATATTTTCTTCAGTCCTCACTCTACGTCTGCGTGTTGGTGGTTTAATGTCCAATAATGTAAACTGGGTTCGAAATTTAGTCACAAGCTTCCGAATAGCTCCCTCAGTAGGCCGATCAAATTGCCCATAAATTGGAAGCAGTGCTCGATGCACACTCTTAACCGAGCATGAATTTTAATAGTAAAATTCAATAATTTGCCAGCGTTGTTCGTTCGTAAGTCGATTCATGGTTAAATTATAGACCAAACTGAACAAGTTTGACAATGACACAAGACACGATTCACGCGTCGTCTGTCACAAAAAGTGTTGCCAAAAAGATACTAGCAAAAAAATCACCCATTATAATCCTTACCTGTATAATAACGAACTGCACGATACTCTGATTTTCTGAGATAAATGCTGTATTCCCATAATACTTGGATGAGCTATTATTGAATTGACTACAAGGCACATCACTAAGGCTCCAGCATAAATGTATGCTTCTTCAATTGAAATTTGCGTTTGCCCTGTTTGGAAATAGCTGACTAGGTTTCTCACACATGAAGGCATCACTATTCTGGAAAAAAGACGTAAGATACAAATCCTTGGAATCCCGAAAGGAAAAACGGTTTGGTATTTAGAAGTTTTAGACAACAATTCAAACCTCGTAGCTTCAAAAATGACACATAAAATGCAACACACAGAATTATTTATAGAATTTCGTTAAAAACTTGTAAACATATACTAAGTGACAGATAAACCCGAACACCCAGTTTAAATGGTTTTATTTTAATTAAAGTTGGTGAATGTGTTTATCTTACTGTAAATAACAAGTGAAAAAATTTTCAGCCTTATCAGTTGGACATTCCGGTTTTTATACTGCTTTTTTTTAATTCACTAACGCTCTAAAAGTGAATATTTCAGCCGCAGTAAAGAATCAACGTTGGCGGGTTTTAGTTCTTGACATCCTTTACGATCGGTTACGATGCCTAGAGTACGGAGACCTGTACGATTTCGTCAACTTAGTGAGTTTGATAGGGGCCGTATAGTGGGACTTCGGGAAGCTGGACTTTCTTTTCGGGCAATTGCAGTTAGAATGCAAGGAAGTGTAGACACTGTGGTTAGGTGTTGTCAGGCATGGCTTCGAGAAGGCTGTACGCAAAGAGCAAGGGGCACTGGACGCCGCCGTAGAACAACAGACCGTGAAGATCGCCGCCTAAGATTATTGGCCTTAAGGGACCGTTTCTCCACTACCAGGTCCATTGCAAATGAATGGTTTGCAGAATACGGAAGACCTATTGGCATGCGAAGTGTTTACCGACGAATGAGAAGTTTTGGCTTGTTTTCATACCGGCCACACTGGGTCCTTCCTTTAACTCGAGAACACCGACGTAATCACCTTGAGTGGTGCAGACAACGGTCACTCTGGGATCAGGAATGGAACAGTATTGTCTTTAGTGACGAGTCTCGATTTTGTTTAGGCATGCACGATGGTCGTGCCAGGGTTAGAAGGCGACGTGGTGAAAGGAGGAATCCACAGTTTTTTGTTGAAAGACATGTGCATCACACTGTTGGAGCTATGGTTTGGGGTGCTATAGCTTATGGTTCCAGATCACCTTTAATCTTCATCAGAGGTAACATGAACGCGCAGCGTTATATCCACGAAGTTCTAGAACCCCATCTTTTACCCTATCTTGGCACCCTGGCAGATCCAACTTTCCAACAAGATAGTATCTGTACTGTAGTCCTCCTTCGATTGCGCTAATATATTTCTCCTTAATCTCTTGATTCTTAAATTGCTGTGGATCAAAGTGTCTTTCAATACTTCTGCAACTTTTATTCTTTCTTTGAGACTTTACCATGTTAATATCAACCCTCACTAAAAAGTGTTCTGAGTCGACATCTGCTCCCCTATACGTTTTCACATTCTGAATCATTCTACAATGTCGCTTTGTTACCAAAACGTGATCAATTTGATTTAAGTAATTACCATCAGGTGAGAGCCAAGTTCCTTTGTGTATGTTCTTTCTTTTGAAATGGGTATTCATTATTTTCATTTGGTTTTCCTGTGCAAACTCTATGTACACGGGTGTTTCAGTTTATTGTTGCATAACTTTAAGATTCGATAGAACTTTTAAAATTAATGCATAAAGTCTATATAAACAGTGAGTCGAAAAATGCGTGCCTTCCGAAATACAGGGTGTTATATTTACTTTTTAAAAAAGTTCTTTTTAAATATTTCGAACAATATTTGATGTATAACAGTGAAAATTGGTATTACGAGCGTTTCTTGGTACGACAAAACGAACCATGGGCATAGTTTTACTGTAGCCGCTAGAGGGCGCTCTCTACTGTACCTGTAGTGTATTGAAATGACCGAAAAATTTTTCTTAGTGCAATTTTTTGCTTTTTGAATAAAAAAGCTCTCCTGCGAGTTTTACCGTTATAATTAGCCGTTTTTGAGATATTTCGATTTTTAAGGTTCGATGCATTTTTAATTATTTATGGGAAAATAATATTTCTTTACATTTTCGATTTGGGCATTACAAGTAATTAAGATGATCGTTTAGATTGTGTTTTTAAACACAGCAATAATTCCTAACTCCAAATAAACACAAATATACAGAATATTAATTTGTTTAATTTTCCAATATTATTTTTAACAAATTAAATTAATTATTTACAACTAAGATGCTATTGGATAGTTAGGACAAACATATAAAATCTAAAGTGGTTGCTCGAAATGTAAACCCAATTGTTCAATACACAATTCACATCTACAAATGATTGAACGTGGTATAGCATTATTCAAATAAGGCCTTATTTCATCACATGCATTCCTGATTATGTCTATTAGCATATCTTTTGTGGTTACAGGACGTCTGGTACACTTTTTCTCTTAGAAATCCCCACACAAAGAAATCTAATGGATTTAGGTCAGCGGATCGTGGAGGTCACAGCGACTGGCCCTCCACGGCCGATCCATCTTTCTGGATAATTTTCGTCCAGCCAGTTTCTAACTATTCTCGAATAATGAGCTGGACAACCATTAAGCTGGAACCAGTCCAATCTTCTTAAATCTAACTATAACAACATCCTACATATTTGCATGTTCAGCCTTTAAAAATTCCAAAAAGGTCGCAGCATTTAACCTTGCAGGCTAAAGATAGGGTCCTAATAGTCGATTACGGTAGATACCATCACACGTTCACACTAAATTCATGCTGAACATTTCTTTCTCAAACTGCATGCGGATTTTCATGCGACCAAATATGTTGATTATGAAAATTTACCACTCCACGTCTAGGGAAACATGATTCATCGGTCCATAAAACGTTACTTAGAAACTCCCTATTATTATCAGTTCTATCAAGAATCCACTGACCAAATGTGATTCTTCGTTCTCCGTCCCCTGGCTGTAGTCCTTGCATAGGTTGCAAATGGTAAGGGACGTCTATGGTAATTTCTGAGAACACGGTGAACATGGCTTGCTGAAATTCCCAAGGCACCAGAAACTCTCCTAACACTTGTGGTCGGATCTCTATCAAACTCACGCAGAATCATACGGGTAAATCTGCGCTGACAAACATTTATGTTTTGATCCCTTTGGAGATTTCCAAAACCATTTTCAATTATTTGGCGATGCACTCTTACAAATACTGAGCGAGTTGGATGTCGTCTGTTTGGAAATCTTCGTGCGTACTCTCTGGCTGCTTCTTCAACTAACTGTCAACTAATTGACGTTTAACCATATTCTACTTTTAATTTCAAAAATATTTGCAGGCACAGCCTACTTCTAAAAATTAACGTTATTTTATCATAAATAATTAAAAATGCATCGAACCTTAAAAATCGAAATATCTCAAAAAGGGCTAACTATAACGAAAATTCACAAGAGAGCTTTTTTATGTTGAAAAGTGCGAAGAATCAGTTTTTTCGTTCAAAAAGCAAAAAATTTCACTAAGAAAAAATTTTCTGTCATTTTAATACACTACAGGTACAGTAGAGAGCGCCCTCTAACGGCTACAGTAAAACTATACCCATGGTTCGTTTTGTCGTACCAAGAAACCCTTGTATACCAATTTTCACTATTATACATCAAATATTATTCGAAATATTTGAAAAAAACTATTTTAGAAAGTAAATTTAAACACCCTGTATTTCGGAAGCCACGCCAAGCCCATGTTTATATAGACTTTATGCATTAATTTTAAAAGTTCTATCGAATCTTAAAGTTATGCAACAATAAACTGAAACACCCTGTATAACCCTTCTTCCGTTATCATTACTATTTTCGTGTTTGCTCTGACCACCGGTGATCTCGTTATAAATTTCTTCATTTCCTATTTTCTGCATTCATGTCCCCCATTTCGACTATTACATTAAATAAATGCACCTTTCCGTTAGCGGTAAAATTCGGTTCTCGTTCCTTCTTTCTTCTTCTACATTTCGATAACCCTCTTGAAGATATACAAACTGTCAAATTTCAATTCTTTTTTGCAGAATCTACAAATTTGCAATATTGCCACACTTTCATCAACGATTAGGTAATCGCGATTAGAAAGTGGTCCGTGCATGTCACTCGAATCTGCCGTTTCTGAACCGGATTCTCCAATCTGGATTAAAGTGTCAAACGATGCATATGAGCGTTAGTAGGTGTTGCATTTTCTATGTCATTTAGAATACTTATCATTTACAAATCCAAATTACGAGTATTTTATTTTCTTTTCGAGTCGATATTCGTGTTGAATGGCGAAACATGAATTTTATTTTGGTAAATTAAGTTTTGAAAATGTATACAGGGTGATTAAAATGGCAATATAACAGGGCAGAAACTACAAAACAACATCAAAGATTCCAATACACACAAGTTCTAATTTTATCCATTTAGGTTGACATTTTTACGCAATTGAAGAGGCCCACGATACCTGTGAAAAGTCGGATAATAATAACTCAATCATAAACGATCCTGGTCTATTTGAAAGGCAGATTTTGCAGAGGAATGTACTTCTCATGCTTTTTTACCAAGTAAATTATTTTTGAAAATTTTAATAGTCCTGCATCTTCGGAACAGATAGTATTCGAAAAAAATAATCGATAGTCTAGAATATGTCTAAAATCAATCTGTATTACAATATGTACAAATCTACGTATTACAGTAATCGACAAAAGTATATAGACAAATATGAATATTTACCTAAATACCTTTAGAAAACGATTCATACTTTATTGCTCCATAAACAAAAATGCGTTATTAGTAGAAAAACTAAATTCCTTGTTTTTACATTAAGATGGTCAACGTCAAGTCGACATTGCCAAAAATGTGAAGCGTATTTTGGGTACTATTGAACAAATATATACAAAAGCTATCTTGGAAGCCTCTAAGAGAAGTGGTCGGCCTAGAAAACTAAATGCTAGATCAGTTAGATTAATAAAAGTAATTTCGTTTAATACAAGACAAATAAAAGCCGAAACCGAGACAAAAGGAATTGTCAATGTATCTGCGAAAACTATAAATAGATGATTAGATGATTTGAAGTTATTTGCACGTCGCAATAGTAAGAAGCCGCTAATCTCGAGGAAAAACCGTAAGGATCGATTAAAATTTGCACGGTTGTATCTTGATTGGAGCATCTGTGACTGGAAGAGGGTATGTTTCAGTGACAAATCCAAGTTCAATATGCTTGGATCAGATGGTATTCATTACGTTAGAAGTTCTAGTGGACAAAGATTGAACCCCAAGTACACTTTGCAAACTGTCAAACACGAAGGCGGGTCTGTCATGGTTTGGGGGTGCTTCTCGGGGTTTGGGATGGGACCTTTACATAGAATAGATGGCATTATGGATAAGTTTGTATACACAGACATACTAAAGCATGTCATGTTACCCTATATGGAAGAAAATATGCCCTTAAGATCAATCTTCCAGCAAGATAATGACCCGAAGCACACTTCAAATCTCGCAAATAAATTCTTTCTGGATGAAAAAATACCAGCTCTCAAATGGCCTTCACAGTCTCCCGATATAAACCCCATTGAAAATCTATCGGAATACTTAGGCAAATACGAGATAAAAATTATTCAAACAAGGATGAACTCTTTGCCGCTTTAGAGCAAAAGTGGAGACAGATTGATGAATCTTATATCAAGAAACTTCTACGATCTAAGCCGAGACGATGCCAGGCGGTGATTGATAATAATGGTTATGCTACAAAATATTAACACAAACATGGTCGGTTTTGTATAATTCACTGAGCTTTGCTTCTTTTTTCTATAATTGTTTTGCTTTGTCTATATATTTTTGTCCTTCATAGTTCCAGTTTTTTTCAATTAATTTTTTATTGAAGGGAGTCTAATGAATTTATTTATGTATGAGTGAGCATTATGCTATAACGAATTATGTATACAACAAGTTGAAAAAGAAATACAGCACAGTATTAATTTGTCTATATACTTTTGTTCATTAGTGTATATCAAATAAATGTTAACGTACACCACCATAATTTCATCTATCAATTTTATCACACCATATATGGCAAATAAAACACCGTACGCTCTGACCAAGGCACGATGTAATGCATATTTTTTACTTTTCCTAAATTCTTCTTTCCAAATTCTTTCTAACTTTGCTCCTATATAACTAGATTTGTGTTCTTTAAGTGGCCCGAAAAGTCCATCTTCTGTTAAGTTCTCTTTGTAGGCTTGTTTGAAAATTGGCAGCATGTATCTGAAACAAAAAAAACAGCGTCATATCTCCTGAGATTTGTTTAAACTTATCTACAGTATATTCAGATAAGAGATAGACCGGATGTAAACAAAAGGTTCGGGTGATTTTCACGCTAACGCCGCCGTCTCGACGTAAAACAGGAGCCCTCATTGGTCAATTCGCAATTAAATGCCTATGCCGAGCGGCAGAGCAGTCGTATCAAGGCAGAGTCACATTCAGGTTCAGACGTGTTACGTATGTCGTGTGCATCATTGCAATTTGATATTTCTTTGGACGTTTTCGTTTGTTATCTTATTAAGTTGTTGAGTTTGTCGTTGTTATTGTTATACCTTGTTATTGATTGTTATTGTTATCAACTGCTTGCGCAAAATGCCCAGTAGTACAGATACTGCCGATGAAGTTGTAAACTCCTGTAGTTCGCCTAGGAAACGCTCTAAAAAAAGACACCTGAGTGCAGAAATGAAAGAGGTCATTTTGAATATATATAAGATCGAGCGCGAGGAGAACGAGGCATCAACCATCAAAGAAATTGTTGTGAAGGTTTCTCACAAAGTTGGGGTGTGTCGGGCATCAGTGTTTAATGTGTTAAGACAATACAAAAAAATCACACCTTTTCTGAGCCAATGACCAGTAAACATCGCAAAAGTATTGTTAAATCATTGGATGAAGCTGATAAGCATGCGATTAGGAGGAAAGTGCATGAATTCTTCTTTAGGAATGAAATACCTACTATAGATAAAGTACTGCAGGAGCTAAATGGAGATACAACGTTGCCAAATTTCAAACGATCAACTTTCCATGCGTTACTGAAGCATTTAAATTTCAAATGGAAAAAACGGGGTCGTAATAGTTTACTACTGGATAGAGAAGAAATTGTGCTATGGAGGAGGGATTATTTAACAAAAATTGGGAAATATAGAAATCAAAACAGGAAGATTTATTACCTTGATAAAACGTGGGTAAACGCAGGACACACTACAAGTAAAGTATGGGTTGATGATTCTGTAACTTCATCCAGGAGGGCCTTTCTAGATGGACTGTCCACCGGATTAAAAAATCCAGCAGGTAAATACGAGTAATAGACAACAATCGGATGTTTTTCAAACCTTGGGAACAAGGTTCTAAACATTAATTCCAGGGGGCAGATAAAACATATTACAAGTAACAAAACTTTTATAACTTTCGATAAAATGCGTGGATGTTTTATTGTCATTTTCATTTGTTAGAACTTTTTTAAGCCATGGTTTTATGTGTTTTCGATATTTCAATAATTTTTTAATATAATCTTAAAATATGTCGAATATTATAAACTTAAAAAAAGTTACTAAGTTTTATATTGTGTACCGTTCCTAATATTTCTAATCATTTTAATTCATACTTTAAGCTTTATAAAGTTATAATTTGTTAATATTAATATTTGCGCGTATTTCAGGTTCCTGATCATTCATTTTTTAAAGGTTTATAACTCTAAATTAAATTGTGAAGCGCTGAGTAATCATACGACGTTCAATATTCTTTCTTTCAATATGACTAAATAATCCCAATTATAGCAATCTGATACTCATGTCTCAATGTTTTTTAGCTGAATGTGATGAAAACATTTGAAAAAGGTTCGCTTATTGAAATAAATCTACACCAGTTAGTACTTCGATTTCCAGGTAAAGGGAAAAGGCTCATTATCTGCCATATTGGCAGTGAGGATGGATTTGTTGTTGACGGTCTGTGGTGCTTTGAGTCTAAGAAAACTGGAGATTACCACGAGGAAATGAATGGCGAATCGTTTGAACAGTGGTTTTCAAAAATTTTACCGAACTTAGAGGAAAACGCAGTAATTGTGTTGGATAATGCGCCTTATCATTCTCGAAGAATGGAGAAGGTCCCAACAACGGCTTCAAGGAAAGTTGATGTTCAAAATTGGCTCCACTCGAAAAATATCAACTTTGAAGAAGCAATGCTGAAAGTACAATTATTAAGAATTGTCAAGGATCACAAGGCGGACTATAAAAAATACGCCATTGACGAAATGGCAGCAAGTCAAAATAAAACTGTGCTCCGTTTACCTCCATACCATTGCGAGCTCAATCCCATTGAGCTCATATGGGCAGAGGTTAAAAATTATATAGCTAAGCACAATACAACTTTTAAATTTTGTGACCTCAAAGGACTTTTCAAAGAAGCACTAGAATTAATAACAGCGCAAAAATGGGAAAACTGTATTAAGCACGTGAAAGACAAAGTTGAAAAGAGAATGTGGGAACTGGACAATATTTTAGAGGAACAAGTCGAGCCATTCATTATTGACGTTGGTGCTTCAGGCAGTAGCGATGATGAAAGCTCATCGAGCTCATCTTTCCAATAAAAGATGTCGTTCATCAAATTCGGTAAGTTATAAGTAATTATAAAGCTACTGTATTGTTTAATTAATTATTGACATTTTTGAACCCATTTTGGCAAAACCTATTCAAGAATCTACTTTCTGACAATGTTCAACCATGCACATTTTTTTACGTTTTGAACGTTTGAATTTGGTTACATATTTACCTAGAAATCAAAAAATATACTAATCAATATTCTAAAAGCAATTTTAAGAGATATACGATTATTTTTAATTTAGGCTATATCCTATATCCATCACCAATCGTATACACATCGAATTGTGCTAATTTACTACAAAGTTACGCAAAGCAGCATCTACTATCTAAAATATGTACTGCGTGACTCTTAATACGTCCCTGCCGAATGTTACAGCGTTCGATGATCACGTGGTCTTGTTTATGTCCGGTCTATCTCTTATCTGAATATACTGTAGTGTCTAGATAATATCAAAGGTTGTGGAATAACATAATGGCATTTTGACTGCGGGAATCATGAAATATTGTTAAAGAACCACATGGTTACGGAATTACTGGCAGTTCTCTCACATGGATCAAGTTTTCTTTATTACACAATTATGGTACAGAAATAAAGCAAGTCCAGTCTTCATGCGTTAATATTGATATGAGAGTTCTTCAAGGATCTATATTAGGGCCTCTTTTATATCTTATTATAAATGATCTGGGTCTATACAAACGATGCCTCAATTATAATTTGAGATCCTCACGAAAACGTATTGGTCAGTAAATTTAATGAATTTTTAGTAAAAAAAAACTTTCTTTCACAACTTTAATAATATTAGTCGATTCACAAAGTTATGTGGCATTTATAAAAAAATAATAATTCAACTAGAGCGAACCATAACGGCTACAAAAATATAAATGTAATTCTTGTTACACCGATCCCCCCTATACAGTCAATCTACTCGGCGCTATTTTGTCTGCGTTTAATATGCCTTGCGCGCACAAAATACAAACTTTTCGATTCGTTTCAATTTGAATACTTCGTCCTTCATCAGTGATGATCGCGGCAATATTAACTTTCGAATTAGTAAAGGTCAAACCACAAAAATGCGGCTTTTTCCATCGCTGTAACATGTCAGCATATTCACCATTGCCTGTCTGGTACTGTATTATTGATTACGAGTATCGTGCTATTTGTCGGACCGTTGCGGAATAAAAATATTCAGCCCACTTGTTATACATTCAGCTGTTATCTTATCTGCTTTTCAGGGCTTCAGATGTGTTAATTATTTTTTGTTTTAATTTATGGGTCAATGCCAACTCGTTGGATTCCAGGCATATATGGCAATTTAGGTAATAGCAGCTTGGAAATAAGAAACTGCGGAAGTGAAAACAGCAAGCTGTCAGTTGGAACTGTATGCCAGTTCGCATCGCCAGCCGGCAGACTTATTACGTAAAATACCTATATACTGTTAAAAAAACGACAAAATATCAATTTGATAAGTACTAGATACGAGCCCCTTCCCACTTCAGTTGGCAAGATTTGTACCAAAATATGGCTTTATAAACTAAACATGACGAAACTATTTACTTCTAAAACAATGTATTTTCTCAAAAACATTTTAGATACACTCTAGTCGTAAAAAATACATATTTGAAATCACTTAGATCTAAACTAATAGAACATCTGAACAAATAAACAATATGCGAATAAATGCGCGAAGTTAACAAAGCTACAATTGAAAGATTACTATTGGGTAACATCATATTTATTTTTTATTACGGCTGAAATTCATTGGGGCATAGTGTTAACCAAGTTTTGGCAAAAATTTGGTGTAAAACGATCCCATATTTCTTGAAGCTTTTGTCTTAGTTCGGTGATTGTACGAGCAGGATGTTGTCGTAGAACCTTTTTCATCTTGTGCCACAAAGTTTCAATAGGTGACAGATCTGGACTGGTAGAAACCCATTTCAAAAGTGGTACATTATTTTCTTCCATCCATTTTATAGCCTTTTTTGAGGTATGGCACGCTGCACCATCTTGCTGAAACACAAAATCTTGGCCGGATGTCAAACATTCTTCCATCACTGGTAAAAGCGATTCGTCTAAAATTGCCAAATATTTGTTTGTATCCACATTTTCATCAATAAAATAAAGTTTTCCTACTCCTTTTGATGACATACTGCCCCAGCCCATAATGGATGCTGGAAATTTCACTTTTCTCTTCAGTCAACATGGAATGCTTCATTTTTTTTGCGAATAACTCTTCTGCGACTGTCGCCAACACAAACTTCGAATCGGGCCTCACCACTTCATTTTATTGTTGAGGTGTCCATTGTCTATGTTCTTTAGCCCATCTAAGCCGATTCTTCTTTTGCAGTGGAGTTAATAGTGGCTTTTCTTTGGCCTATAAACCAGTTGTGCAACTTTAGGGTTTTTACTTCACTTTTTTTATAAGAAAACATACCTTGTGTGCTAAATCCAGTTTGTGGACCTCTCTATGAGTTGTGGACCTCGAAATTCTCCTTCCAACAGCGTCACTCCGCAGAGCAATTAATTGTAAATAATTGGCGCGCCTGTTTTTCACGATTATTCTTCTTAATGCTCTTCGGTCGGAATTTACGATATTACTTTTTTTCACATATCGTGGCTCAATATTAACT